TTATACCTTGATATTTGCATTCTGCTGCTGTAAGGCTGACCGGAGCCCATGATCTAATTGCCTTGTGCGCCCTGTTTTAAGAGAGGAGAAAACCTCTTATACCTCTTCATTCGTCTGCTTTGGCTTATGGTTCCCAAGCCGTGCCTCAGAGCCCTGCCCTGTCTGTCCTGAGACTCTAGTTTACATCAGTTGATCTCTATAAGACATTCCTACTCAGATTCCAGAGGTTAATGTTAAATGTATTATTTCATCTCTTCTTTCCAAATTATTACTGTTCATAGTTCCTTGTTTCCTAGCCTGCATGACTTATATTTCAGGACTATTTTTATTTTTTTGTTTTGTCTTTCAACCAGTTACTAAAGCTCTTCTTTTGACTTGACTTATCCAACAGTCTGGCCTTCTATGCTCTGTGTTGAACGCTGTATTGATTTTGTCTTCATGTCGCGCCTGTGCTGTTGGCCATGCCTGCAGCCTATATTTATGCCATGACAACATAATGTGTCCTGTGCTTCCTGCAGGTCTGAACTCGTCCATGAAGCTCCACCTCACAATCAGAGTCCATAAGGCCCATTTAGCATGAACCTCACAACCTGCCCATGGGGCTTTATATAATTCTTGTGTTTCTTTGTTTATATCAAATTAGGAGATACTTATCAAGCAGCTGTCCTGTTTATGTTACCAGGTTCAGTGCTGCCGAGTTTCAACGGAGTATGTCAACAGAGCCTCTTGAGCTGCTGATAGTATAGTGCAAGACACACTCCCAGTACACAAATGACTGCAAACAAATCAAGTACAATAATGCATGTACACTTGGCGTCTTGACACTCCATCACACTAGAAACAAGGGGACCACCTGGACTTAGTCTTCTGAATCTCTCAGTGCAATCAACATAGAATGAGAAACACTATATTGTATAGTCCTCACCAGATATACCAAGCCAGCCATACCAGTAGCAGTGATGGGCCAAGTGCACGCTACATTCCCAGGGTTTGCACACATCGTTTATAATCCTCACGGGTAGGCATTGTTAACCCATTTCACAAATGAAGAATCTGACTCTTAAAGAAGTTATGCAATCACATGCCTACACAGAGACAACCAGTAAGTGGCAGGGACGGGAACTGTAGCCAGATATAACCGAAAAGCCTGGGCACTATTCCCTCTTCATTACTGCCCAACTCCTAGGGAATGGATACTCGAGATATCACCTTAGATCATTCATATACCTATGTATGCACCTGTGCCAAGGATAAGGGTATTCTTGAGATCTTTTTAAACCCACTCCCCAAATGTTTGAGGTTACGGGCTTTATTTATACATGTTCTCTGCATCTTCTGGAGAAAATGCCCCAGCTCCATTGTTGCCTTGTCGGTTGCAGACATGGTGTGCTTAAAGGATCTGAATGAAAAAGCTCTCATGGCTTCAAGAAGGTCTAACAAGACGGCTTCGAGTCTAGAGGAAACTGGCTCTTACTAGATGTCCATCCTGGCTCTTGTTCGCAGAAGGGTCATTAAAGAGCTGTATCCTCCCTACCATGCACAGGATGTTGCCTGCAGGATCCCATTAGTGCTAATGGGTCATTTTCTTTCTAGCACCCCAAGGTTCAAAAGGAGAAGCTGCATCTTTGATGAAGTGCTAATGCTACACAGGTCTCAGGCCACTTAAGGATTTTCTTTGTTCTCTTCAATATGGCAACCCAACAGGGGACATTAAACCACTATCTGCTGTAGGAAGAGTTTATAAAGACAGTATTAAGTGGTGGTGCCAAGTGCAGCTCCAGTAATGAAAATGAGAGTGATGCCCCTATTTACAGTGCCAGACTCATCCACCTTAGTATGTTTGAGGCTTGCATCCTGTGCAGTGTGAATCGATATTTTTTGCTCTTTAATAACACAAGGGAAAGCTTAATACTTTTCTTTAATAAGCTTTAAAAAGTTGCTCAGCAAGTAAGTTTCCTAATAGAAAAAAAAATTAGGATTGTGATAGGAAGTGAGGAAAGGAAGTGAATGTGTTGTAGAATTAGCGCTCTCTCCATGTGTTGCTTTCCCATTCTTCTTTCTTCTTTCTTCTTTCCTGCTGGGACCTCACTCCATCAGGTGTCTGACAAAGACATATCAAGTGTGTATAGCCCAGGACTAGGCACTGTGGGAGAATGGAAAACGACGACACAATCTCTCTCCTCCAGGAGGTTATAATCACAAAGAATAAGATTGGCTATCAAATATAGAGTGTCCTATACCTAACTTCCAGTACTGAGTTCTGTGCCTGAAGCAGCGCCCAGAATTCTTTATTTAACCCCTACTTCTCAGCCCACAATCTCAGATGTGCAAGAAATCTGTCTTTATTTTTCTATAACTCACCTTGGGTTCTACTTTGAGCTCTGATGTGCTGAGTTAGGGAAATTTAATCTTAGGCAATTTTAGTTCCCTTATTTCTCTGGAATTGTGTCTAAATTAATTGGGGTAGAGGACTTCCCAGGGTACCACGTTTTGGGGAGGCAGAGATTACACCGGAGCTCATCTTCGATATTCCGTATTCGTAGCTCAGGTGCCCTCTGCATTACTACCTGGCACCTTCATTCTTGTGTGCATAATCCCTTCAGGTCAGTCATTTTCTGTTTCTTATTGTGCCTCTCAGGGAATGGTTCCACTGCTCCCACACCACAGTGGAATATGGGACCTTCTGGGAGTCTGCCTAAGCTCTCAGCGTGTCTAAATTTACCATGCAGCCATTTCTGCTCCAGGATCTCACTGTCGCTTCGGGTTTCTCTGGGGGAAATGCACACAGATCAACACTACCGCATTTGCCCACCTGAGATTTTGACACCCCCGCGGCTCACCCTCACACCAGAGCGCGGTGTCTTCTTTTCGGCATTCACCAATGACGGTGCTCACATTTCTCCTCTGCCAACTTTCTCTCCTGCTTGCCCACAGGAGAAGCAGGAAAGCTTTGCTGTCCTTACGTAATTGTCTGTACATTCTATCTGTCTCACTGCTTTAAAAGTCTTGGTGTTTAAGACTCAAATTCAGAAAGACAATTTATATCTTTAGTTTATGATTCATATCTCTTCTCGGAGGCAACTAAAACACAGTGGCTAGAAATTTAAGAGAGAGAAAAGTCTAAGGAGAGAAAGGGAATATGGAGGAAAAAAAAAACAAATATTTCAAAATAATATTCCACCTCAGACCAATAATATGCTACCTTTTACTATTAGTAGTTATTTGTCAATAAATGTTTTATATTCTTTAAGAGGTGGAGGAAGTAAAAACATCCAGTAGCTTCAGTACAAATTATGCAGAATTAATGATATTCCTGTGTAATACTTAGAGCCTTAGTTAGCAGGTCGGGGATCTGAGTTCTCAGTGTTTATGGCTAAACGACTCTCAGCAAGCTCAATGTACTCATCAGTGTAATTCAAGAACGTTGTATCTGTGGATTGGTTTTACCCTATCTACAGGTTAATAGGTTAGCTTATTACTGTTTCGTGGATGCTGGCAGAATACACAAGATTTCTGGGTCAGAGACCAAGGACTTTATTACTCATGACCAAACAAAGACCAAGAGCATCAGCGTGTGCCAGTTCTCCTTGCTCCCAAGTCCCCTGAAGACAACACAGACAGGTCCAGATAAAACTTAGGAGTGGGCCCTGGCCAGTTTGGCTCAGCGGTTAGAGTGTCGGCCTGCGGTCCGGAGAGACCCGGGTTCGGTTCCCGCTAGGGGCACGTACTTTAGTTGCAGTTTGTCCCCGGCCCTGGTGGGTCGTGCGGGTGGCAGCCACTCGATGTGTCCCTTCACATCGATGTTTCTCTCTCTCTCTCCCTTCCTCTCTCTCCCTCCCACTCTATCTGTACAAAAAATGGAAAAATATCCTCGGGTGAGGATTAAAAAAACAAACAAAAAAAACTTAGGAGTGGAAGGGATTTGTGTTAAAATGGGGAAAAGGTGTCAAGTGGCGTGAAGCTTAGTGAGCATGGTTAATGTGAGAGAGAAAATTCAAACGATAATGAAAAGTTAGAGAAGTAGCTAAACAGTATGTTTATCATAACTTGTAAACGGGCAGTGTATTATGGAATTTGGGGGTCACCCTCCTTATGTTCTGCATTTATTAAGTGTTTAAGGGACCAGAATTCATTAATTACATCTACCCAATGCCATTTAGATATGAGAATAATCTGATAGGAAAGGAACAGAATTAAACATAGATTATAGTTTATTTTTTAAAGTAGTGTCCCATGAACCTAGAGGCATGAAGATGAAAAAGACGAGCCCAGTGCTGCATTAGGAACTGCAATGAAATGGGGAGGGGGGGGGGATAACTTGTTAACAGATCCCAGAGCAGCACAAAGAATTCAAAGTGGTGTAACTTTAACTATAAGGACAAAACATGCAGGTATATTCAGACTATTGTGGGAGTGAGTTGGTGAATACCATAGGTATAGACAAGGATAATGGGCTTAAAGTGTAGTAGAAAGAGTAATCTTAGACCCTAGAGAGAGTTTGCTGGACTTCTGATTAACTGAGAGACCCAGACTTCTCTAAGCAGAAGGTAGATTTGATAATAACACCTATTGACTGTCTACTACCTCTTTTCATTATGATGGATATTTCCTGTATTTTGTCTCATTTGATAACACTATGGGATAGGTTTTGTCATTCTCATTTTAGAAATGAGGCTACTAATGACCAGAGAAACAAGCAAACAAAAACAAAACAACAACAACAACGACACACTGTCAAAGCCTCAGAGTTGGAAATAACTGGGTTCAGGTTTCAGTGTTAGGAAAATGTAACCACATGGCCTGTGTTCTTTCCACGTGGCCACACTGTAGGGAACGTCACTCTATTAGTTTGTGCTTTTAGGAAAATACCTAGTTTTAAAATCACTTTATAAAATCAACTTAATAAAAAGTAAACCTCACTATTTTTTTCCCCCATCCTACTGTATATTTAGAGTCAAGGACAAGTTACTTTTGTGACCAAAACTTTGCTCTTCCCACAGGTGACTTGTATATAGGAGGAGTGGCGAAAGAAACATACAAATCCTTGCCGAAACTTGTCCATGCCAAGGAGGGCTTTCAAGGCTGCCTGGCATCAGTCGATCTAAATGGACGGCTTCCAGACCTCATCTCAGATGCCCTTTTCTGCAACGGACAGATTGAGAGAGGATGTGAAGGTATCCGATTTTGGTATCATACTCATAATTCCAGTTCCACCTGTAAACAAGAACAAATCTCGCTAGCCAGGGAAATTCATTTGTGCCAACTGGTCAACCCCCCACTTAGGGCTTAGAAGTCCTTGTTCATGTTTTTCACTTTTCATCCCAGAAATCTTACATTTTCTGGACTGTTTGCAAGCTTATAGTGATGTCTGATGTCAAACAGGAGCTATAGCCATAGTTCTTGTTAATTTCTGCTTCTTTACATTCTATAGTTTGCATAATTAGTGTGTGGTTCAGTTCTGCAATGCTTGCTTTATAACATTATATAGACACCCCATTTAGACTAGAGAAATATATTTATTCCAGCAAGTGTTAATTAAGTTGAGCCTGTTTTTGAAGTATACATTTAATAGGATATAAACAAGAGAATAAAGATTAGCTACCATTCTCGAATTACTATTTGGCTTGTTTCTCCCCAGCAGCATGACTGTCTCCTGTATATATGTATTATCAGTTTGTTTTAGTAAAAATTGGTTTCTTCTGTTACTCTAGGCTGGTATTCCATACTTCAGAAATGTGCTCGAGTTCTGCCAGTTCTTTTGTGCTTCTCAGCAGACTGAGATCTGTAGGAGTATTTTTTGATTGATACCTCCATTTCAGATAATTTTCACTTCAACACCCCAGATTATTTGAGCCAATTCTCCCTCCATAAATGTAATTTAATCACATTATCCTGAATGTTGTGGCTCTGAATATCTTGCTGCTTCTCCTTTAATGTTGAGCACAGTTTAGGCCATTTTGAAAACTTTAGAGTCATAGAGAAATTTCCTATGAGAGAAGCAAAGAAAGGCATGTGAATTCCTATCCCCCAGGAGATTATGAATCATTTCCTCTCAGCCAAAATAATGCCATTAGATTTAGCAATTACCTAAGTACATGAATTTTTTTTTTTTACTTGAAAATGTATTTTTTTTTCCTCTCTGCAACATATATTTCCTGCAAAAGTCAGGTGAAATGCAAACTGAACTTGAAGCCTGCCAGAGGATAAGGCAATTGAATGGACATCCCTGTCAAATTCATTTCAATGTCTTCGCCACATTTGTTGTCTTTCAAATCTTGGTATAACACACTTTTGTAAAACCAAAGGAGACGATGTGTTTTCTCCTTTTACCCATTTAACAAGGAAACAACATTGTTAAATGAATGAATTCCTTGTAGCGGATAGCATGTGAGATACAACTTTTATTCTTGAAGGTGCTCTAATTTGTTAGAATATGTACGTTAAAAAAAATGTACTACAGGCTCTTCTGAAAATATTTTTCAAGAATAGGCCTTTCTACAAGTTGCTTGGTAAGTGACTTCGCACCTATAAAAAATGGTGAGAGCAGACAGATGCATTCACAACTAAACACACACAAGATGGAAAACCACACACACACACACACACACACACACACACTATCCCTCACCACTGTACATGACATGAGTGGGCGAGTGGAAGGGAAAACAAATGAGAGGAAGATGTATAGAGAAAGAGTATTAAGAGAAATGATATTTGGTGTTATTTCCCAACATAATCTAATGAACACTTTGATTAAGATGACTGATTTTACATCCACTTGGAAAACCTTAAGCTTCTATTTGAACATTTGAAGTCATTCAGTAGATTAACACATTGATTTTTTCCTGACCATATCTAGGATGATTTAATATCTGAGTTTTAATAATTCTCACCCTCTTTTACCTCCTTTTCTTTTTTTTTTTAGACTGTCATGATGCTCCTGCCTTTCTGCCATTACGCTTCCCTCATTTTTAAATTCCAGCATCAATATTAACAACTCTTAATTTGTGATTATTTCTATCCTATATGGTCTCTAGGAGTAACCTCAGATGCACCTGTCATAGGTGTAATTATGAGGTCTATATGATTTTAGGATTAGTGATCATATTCTAAACACACAATAAGTTCTCTCTCTAAATATTGTCTCAAGAATTTTGAGTCCAAATCACATTGGAATCACTTAACTTTCATATTAATAGAAACAGTATAAATTTGACAAAACCAAATATCTTTTCAATATTTTCCATCATTCCTACCCCAAAAGACCTACAAATCCCTAAGCCCCTTATGTGAGAGGTTCTTGGACTTGCCTCTATTCATTTGCTGCTTTTGATTCTTAACTAATTTTAGTTGCCAATAGCTCATTGTGTTTCTACAACACATTAGCTAGTGGAGGAAGTTCGCAAGTCCCTTTAGATGAATGTTTCTCAAACATTAGCCAGTGTCAGAAATGCCCATGTAATTGTTAAAACCCAATTACCGACACTGCCCCCAGTGGTTCTGATGCAACAGACCTTAGGATGGGGCCGTAGCATTTTTATTTGTAACACGTTCCTAAATGGAGCTGATGCTGTTGGTCTGAGGACCATACTTTGAAAACTACTGCTTGAGATGGCAATTCCTGCTTTCATAAGAGAAAAGACAGACTGGTAATCCACCAGTAATCAGCCTCAGTTAAACTCAATACTCAGTCTGGTTAACACGAAGTTCGTGGAAGTTCTTTTTTTAAAATCCAGATACTCTTTACATAGACGCCTAACATGCATCCCCAAACTGCATTTTAAGTGACAGAAACACTCAATTATTAAAGCTAACATTGGTTAAGCACTGGTGACATTAAGTTTGCACATGCTGTTTCATTTACTCCTCAAAGCTCTATGTATGAGGCATTATAGACTTTTTTTTAGATAAGTAGGTTGACTCAGGGATGTGAAGTGACCTTCCTGAGGTCACACAGCCTAGTGTGTTAGGCTAGTGTGTATTTTGACATTTTTATAAAACCTATAAAATTGTGTTTACTGCAAACTATTTAAAATTTTTACTCTAAGGCTATTTAGGTGGACGGCATTCCATTTTGGATGACAGAAGCTCCAAACCCAAGTCTGCCTTACTTGAAAGCGCACGAGTATAACCATTGGGCTCTTGTTACTTTGGTTTTCAGAGATTGTATTTTACCTTCGCTTTCCTTTCCTTTTCAGACCTATCCTTATTTTAACCACTTAATACAAATGTCCTCCTGGCTTTTTAAAAATTGTATTCCATGATAAAATAAAAGGAACATGATATAACTAAAGGGAAAAATAGATTTGGGGCATTGTCTTGTGTCAATGTTTAAATATTGTTCTAGAAAGTGAATACTTTGAACAATGTCTTGTAAAGCATAGGCATGCATCCTCTTGTAATGCCTGAATATAAAAAGACTTGTGGTAATGAAAACAAAATAATAGTAATAAAGCATATCTTTGTGCTCACATAAGTTTTGGCAGGTACCCTGAGAGGCTGCTCCACAACATGGGAAGATTACTTTTTCGGGTTGCTAGTTTTACCGTTTTTAGACTTTAGCATTATTTTGCGATTGCAATTCTGATAATTTTTGCAAAAATAAAAATCTGGCTCTCCATCAGTCTTTGCTCCTGCTCCTTCCTTCTGCTGGGCAAGTAAGGAGGTGCCTCTTCGTTGAGAAAACAGCCCCAGCCACCTGGGCTCGCCCCACTCTGCGACGCTACGCTTGTCCCAGGAGGGAACGTGCTACGGACTATGGATCTAAGAGGGTTATTGTTTTCAATAAACACTTATTATTTCCAGTCTCTCATGCTGGGGGAGGAAGATCATTAGACCACTTACCTCTCACAGGTGGGAAGAACAACAGAAATTAAACTGCTCAGTGGTTCTTAGTTTTTCTCATCTGTTGCACCAAATAACCATTACATCTGTTCAGTCTCCCAGGCCTGGGAGATTAGTATTATTATTACTAATAACAGTTGTTAATAATAATAGTAGTAGCTATGATTACTACTATACTAATCATTATTATTATATAGTTAGTATTTAAAATATTATGATTTCTGAACTTGTGAAAATTCATACGTTAGGCTAAATTTAATAACTTTCTATGAAGAATACCTTTACTAAGAAAATTGAAATAGAAATATGATTGTAAGGAGCATGTTGAAATAGAAATTATACAAAAACATTGATTTACATAAAGACTAATGTTAGATAATTCTCATTTATTCACTAAAGCAATTACCCCAAAGGCTGTCACTGCTAATAGCATGTTATTAGGCTAGTGTGTATTTTGACATTTTCATAAAACCTATAAAATTGTGTTTACTGCAAAATATTTAAAATTTTTACTCTAAGGCTATTTAGGTGGACGGCATTCCATTTTCACCCTTCCCTAAGCCAGTCCTTACTGACGGGTTCCACTGTGATAAATGAGCACAGGGCAGTTTATAAATTTAAAGGCAATGATGAAGGTGGAAAAATGCAGACAGAACTCTGAACTCCTTAAGCAGAATACACCTAACCTGGTAAGGGCAGAGACAAACATTCCACCCTGAAATCTGGTGAAGGCTTGTTTCTTCCACGCTTTCTTCTTTCTTCTACTCCAAAGGATTTTTTCATTTTGATAGTTTGGTGTCTCTCTAAGGCTCAGCTGTTGGCAGCAAATGGCTGGCATTACAGTTTTAAGTTTTAATTGCAATAGCAAGATAAGAGATCGAGAGGGGGAAAAAATGGAAAGGGATCATCCGTCTGTTAAATGACCGCAGTCTACACTGCATCTATACGTGACAAATGGTGCCGCGTGTTCCAAATAAGCAAGGCAGTCACTTGGGCAAGGCACTGATATCCGTCCAAGACAGGAGAAACTACAGACCCTTTTAACTTTCCTTCATTACATGTCATCAGCTCAATTAACCTTTTTATATATGTATACACACATATATAGTAAAATTCTAATAAGTTACCGCTTTCTCATTTTTGGCTTAGGATTTATGGCTGTTAGTATTACTTTATTTGCTTTACATAGCATTTCTCTCCCCCTTTGCAGCAGCATGCTTTTTAAATCTGAACGTTCTTCTGTGTTTGCCCCATTTCAGTATTGCTTACTAACATTTAATATATTTTGCTTTTTTTTTTTATTTATTTTGCTGACAAAGTTGCATTGATGAAAGCTGACTTGCAAGGTAGATAGCCCTGTGTGTATAAAACAAGACTGAAACCCCATAGTACACAGTGGAAACCTCAAAATAACGTTTTTGGTTTTTTTTACATTTTTGCAGTAACTATTGTCTGGGTTCAGATTTAATTTTTCTCCTTTTTGAACATTGTGCAAGAAACTTCATCCTGTAGCATAGTTTGCATAAAGGCTTTCAGTCTTGACTATGTTTGTCTAGTGGTTACCTTTAGTGCTTTGATCATCCTTTTTTCGTTCTTTGTTTTTCAGTGTTCTAGTTATGATTCTTTAGAAATAGAATAGTGTTCTTTTTTTGTATGTTAAAATGGGGCATGTCATTTATGCAGTTACTCATTTTATGTTTAATTGCATGAAATTGTCAACGCATGTGACTTGATACTTGCCAACATACCTATCCAAAACACCCAGCAATCATTACTTTATAGTTTGCGCAGGGAAACTTCTAGAACCCCTAGGCCATTTTTGCATACCTCTCTTCAGTTATTTTGCCAGTCTTATCTCAATTTCATGAAGCTATAATCTCTATTTCTCATGGTGTCTCTATTCATTGGTCAGAAGTTAAGGAGATCCATGCATTTTTCTAAAATTCAAATGGTGATCGAGAATTACGGATGATGCAATGAGTTAGCTGCTACCATAACCAGACTCGAAGCGTTGTGCTTGCTCTTACTATTGGTTGGTTCAGTTTACCATCATCATGTATTTTGTCCTGTATTTGAAACCTCGGCAAACTTTTCATATTACCGCTTCTCTGTTTCCAATTCAGGTGTGTGAACTAGAACTTCCAAAACTAGTTTGGTCATATAACTGAGGTGTTGGCAACTACTCTGTGTGACCCAGCTCGCGTATAAACCACATTTGGATTGTTGATAAGAACCCAAGTTTCTTTCGGGTTGTTTTGCAGGGCCCAGCACCACCTGCCAGGAGGACTCGTGTTCCAATCAAGGCGTGTGCTTGCAGCAGTGGGACGGCTTCAGCTGCGACTGCAGCATGACCTCCTTCAGCGGGCCGCTCTGCAATGACCGTAAGTACCGGTCTGCGCGTGGCCTCTTATCGTCGCTGCTTCTGTCACTGTGTGATGCCCAGCGACCTAAACAGGGACTCTGCATATCATCTGTGAGTAAGTGACACTGTCATAAGTAGGAGGAGCAGTTGTTGCTACCGAAAGGACAATTTTAAATACTGAAGTATTTATTCATCAAGGATGCTATAAGCTCGCTGTTTGGATGTTGATGGCGATACTTGGGTTTTCTGATGTTGTGAAATTTTTTTTTGAGTTGCTAATGGTTACCTTGCTGAAAACAATGTTTTGATTTCTTATATGTGACAATTCACCCCTCATTTTTGGAAGAAGTACATATTGCTTTATGTAAAGTGATATTTAATTGTGGAAGTTTACCCCTTGAGGGCTGCGGTTTTCGTTTATGGTGACAGGCCTCGTGGTGTTTGTTTCTCACTGTACATCTCTTCAAGCCTCTATCTGCCTTGTACTTAAAAAACATGTGTAAACGTTGTCCACGAACTACTCTTTCTTATACAGGGTTGTGCAAAAGTAGGTTTACAGTTGTGCCTATGGAAAATAATGAAATAATTGATAAATAATAACACAAAAATACACTGTTTCACATACTCAAAACTGTAAACCCCCTTTCGCCCCGCTCTGTTTTACCCACTTGGGATCCCCGCCTTTAGTCTCACAATTTGAGTGTGACAGAAAAGTGTTCACCTTACATCATGGAGTGTCTGCTGGTACCCAAGCTATGCAATTGCGGTGAGGATCCTGAGACTGAATTCACTGGTATAGGGGTGATGCTCTGTTTCTTAACTTTCAAGTAAATCATGCTTTACCGCATTTCATCACAATAGTAAGCGCATTTCCTACGAAACATTGCGTTTCACTCTGTTGAGGAAATATTTCTGACAAAGCTTCCCTGTCGTAAAATAGGGTATGTGCTTCATGTCTTTAGAGGCGGCAGCATTTAAAGAAAGCTCTGGGGTGATGGGGCGGGCAGTGGCGATGATGGAGCTTTGGGCTTCCACACAAAGGCTGGGCTTGGGTGTGGATTCCAAGAAGGACTAGAGTTTGTTCATTGTGACCTTTTTCTGTTGGACACTGTTCAGATCAGGAGATATGTGTATCACAATGTTGAAGGCAGGGTCAAACTATGATATTTCATCTGAACTGAGTTGTTGCCTAGCAGTAGTGTACAATTCACCATCTATCTTTCAGTTTGTTATCCAAAATATTGACTAGAGGGATAACAAGCAACTAATGCAAAGTAAAATACTACTTGAAAGACACTTGTAAAGATCACACCAGCATAGATAGCTAAATATCCATTGTACCAGTGACATCTTCCATAGAATTACAAGTAAGCTTGAAGCACTATAGACAAGTATTCAAGCTATCACACATTTGCAAACTCTGTATTTCTACAAATCAGATCACACAAACAACTTCATTTGGGGTTATATGAGTACCCTTACATAAGATTCAATAAATAATTGTATGTACATAAAGCAAATAATGTATAGATGCTTTTAATAAAGATCTGTATAAATGTACACAGACTAGTAACTTCCTGCATTTGCTTCTGCCCCCTAGAAAATAACATAAACTTATTTTCAAGGACAACCAGAAGACTGATCACTTGTTACAATTTTATGGCAAATTTTTAATCTTGAGTTTGATCCTGACAGGTATATGACTACATGTGGTAGCTGAGAGAACTTTTGTGCCTGAAAATATTTTTCATTTTGCTAAAGAATATTCTCGGCCAAACTTTGCTTAATCTAGTTTTCACGTTTTACAAAAGAGTTGCCATTGGTTGTGTCAGATCATGTGTCCTTGTATACCGGTTAAGTGGGAAGAATGTGATTTTCTGTAGGTATTTGCTGTGTATTTCCTAAAGGAACATTGAGATCCTGCTTTAAGTATCATGCTGTCTTCAAATCATTTTTACAGAAAATTACTTGAATGCTGCTCTTGGGTGATAGTAGTGGTGATGACAATGATAAGGCTATTTGTTATTTTCTTGTAAATAAGGTAAATGTCATCCAATAAATATGTCTCCTGATATGCCTCTTGCACAAATCAGCATTAAAATTACTTTGGAGGGTTCCCAGAATACATGCATTTTGATTAAATCATTACCTCTTAGTGGGCTTTCTGGAAATGTGAAATAGTTTCTTGGTTTGTACACTGGAGTTTCGGTGGTGAGGATATGGAGATACGAATCAATATTTAAAAGCAAATCTTATTTTCATATGAACAGTAATTTGTAGAAGGTACAGTAGTGACTCTCCCCTTGAGGATGTACAATTGATGTGGTAGTAAAAGTAGCATGCCACATTTTCTTCACTTTTTAAATTGATCAAAATAAACCTTTTATTTGTATCTCACTATTTCTCTATAAGTTGCATACATAGAATTAGTGTGATTCCTGGGGTTTTAACAAACTCTCTGTATGTATAGAGGTTGACTTAAAAAAATATTGAAGTCATTTAGGGCATTTCACTCTTTAACAAAATTTTTATTTCCAATTTAGATATTTATCCATAAATTCTGTGATGGCAGCCTTTAACTGCATAGGAAAAAGAAAAAAAGAGAATAAAAATAAAACTTTTTAAAAGGGGAAAGAGCATACCACATTGCATAAGCATCTCCCCAAACTCCCCAATAGAAGTTGTAAATATCATCTCTCTGATAAGTTTCATAGAGTGGGTAAGAATAACTAGAAAATTTTATTTATGTTAACCTGGAGATATAATTAACAATGGGAAAATGGGACTACTTTTTTAACTTGTAAGTGTCATCTTGGATAAATCATACTAATTAAGGAACTCAAAGGAATCTTTCAAAGAAGAGGCACTTAGGAAAAATGGTGCCCAAGACTACTTCTCAAGAAGAGTGTTTGTGAAACCCTGTCTACCCTAGAAAACTGCCACCTCAGTGACCTCCTCATTGACAAAAATAATTGCTCTGTGTGTGTGTGTGTGTGTGTGTGTACTTGTGCATGGGGTACCAATACCATATTTTAGGTCCTCAGTATTATTTCTCTGGTTGTAATAATCTCTAGGTTGAGTTTACCACTTCGTATTCCTCCCTCCTCCAATTTATCCCATGCCTCTACCAGTATTGTTCTTCTTTCCTGTTCTCTCTGCCTTAAATATCACCTGCTTTTCCTGATTCTCCTGACCAGAAGCAATGTTTTTCTTCATCTGACTTCCATAGAGTTTTGTTCATGCTGTTTTATTAGCCATCACTTTCTACTTTATGGTTACTTATGCTTGGTCTTATTACACTGTAAGACTGTATGCGTCTCCCAGGGACAATAGTCCTTTATTATTTTTTTGGCTCCTAAGCCCTGTGTTTTGCATATTGTGTTGCATGTAATTGGTGATAATAGTAACTCACTAAATCGTGTTGACTAAGTGAATGGATCTTATACAAGGAGTTCTAGTACGCCTTGGTGGCCAGCAGTACTCTCCAAGTTCCTCAGTTCGGAGTTCATGAGCCTCCATGGTCTGACCGGAACTTCTGTTTTCACCCTTGCCTATTGCACAACCTTGTCCACGTGGCGTGTTACTGTCACTCGCTCACCCATGGCTCGAACAGCACGACACTGCCCCACTGTTCTCGCCCTTGCCTGTGCTGGCTTCTCCCGGGGAATGTACTCATCCCAGCTGGAATATCCTCCTGTCACTGTATCTGCTTGAAGAAATAGATTTTCACATTCAGTCTCTACTTAAACTGCAGTCTCTGTTTTATCCCATGGACACTCCCTTGGTCTTCGGAGCCGAGTTGTTGTACTTACCACAGACTGTAACTGTTTGTGAACTTTCTCTGGGAAGTAATCACGTGTTGAGGGCTTGCTATGTGCCAGGGCTGAGAGTTTATATTCATTATGTACAATCTACGTATCACCTATACATGCTTGCGCACGCGCACCCCATCCAACCATTCTGCTACAGTGATCCTGTTTTGCTCGCCCCCATTGGTCCAGAATAGAAGTAACTATACTGCTTCATTTAGCATCAGGTTGGGGAAGATGAATATGGCCATGATCACACGGAAAATAGCGAACATAATAACAGTGTCACATTACATTAGAGAGAAATGCTGTGTGCCAAATTATAGTTCAGCTTCCACAGTGTCTGTTACCATAGGGGAATAATACATCACAGGGCTGTTATTTTGGTAGTAGGGTGGTGGGGGCACTGCCATCAAAAGACTATTTTCAGGATTCTGAACTTTGCCAAAAGAACATCTTTCTGGTAAGAATATATTTTATCTTGATATGAGAGTTAGGCATGTTCACTGAAACAATGATAAAATACATTAGAAAAATTTGGGGGGAAATGAAATACATTTGACTGTGTTAGTTACCATGACATGTAAACATACTTTCAGCTTTGTTTCTCTCTTTGTTTTGTTGTTTGAAAGAGAATCCCATATCCAGAATCTGAGCATCAATCTCAGAACTACTGGAAATGAATGAGAACATATGCAAAAATAACTTGGATCGAAGTAACATCATTTCTCTCCCATTTAGAGCTGCCAATAATATTAAGCTGTGAACTGATTTGCTGCTGACACCATTTAGGGGTGAATAAAATGTAGCAATTAACGATGTCCACCACCAGATTCTCATTGGGAGTATGATGAATGTACTTCAATTTGAGTCATTCTAGCAGTTCCAAATGGCAGCCTGGAAGTTGTTCAACGCAATTCATAAGCAATATTTACTGATAATGCCTTAGAAAAACTATCTGTGGGGAGACAGCCTCAGACCTGGTGTAGGTTAAACCATAAAGGATGTAAAGTACTGTTCATACTGAGTTTTAAAAAGTGCAATAAAAGACAGAAAGGGAAGCATATGCATGATAGAGAAACAGACTGTATAATAGAAGTGCTATCTACTACTATTTCCTATAAATTTATTTTTGTTTCTCTTATTGGTAACAGACATCATAAAAATAGATGCATGAAAGGAAGTATTGGTCTTTTCATATTGCAATTGG